CAAAACAAAACAAAACATGAGTACACATGCTAGCATTAGCCTAACATAGCTAAGGAGTTTGTAGCTGTTTGGGTCTTGTCAGCTTTAATTAAAAAACAAAAAAGATGTTCAAAGTATGAAGCCGCATCTGTTTTACCTGTTGGAATCTCAAGTGTATGCATTAATTGTAATGACATATTTGAATTTTGACACACAGTGGCCCAGCTGGTAGCACTGTTGCCACAGCCAGAAGGTGATGTGTTTGAATCCTAGCCTGGCGTCTTTCTGCATGGAGATTACATGCCTATTGAAACCTAAATGAAAGAAAACAAGCTAAATGAGTCTCTTAAAAACTCAGATATTATCTAACCCAAAGGTCTTAGCACAGCTGCGTTTGTTTGTTTAAACCAATCCAGTTGATATAAATAGTAATTCCTGCTGCTCATTTAATGCATTTGGTTTCTAAACTAAAGCATCTCTAAAAGGAGCTGCACAAAGAATAACAGATCCCCTTACTTAAAAACTAGACTTAATGGTTGTTTCTCAACCTGAATGAGGCCATAACCAATTCCAATAATGAGGGATTCAGTTACCTAATCAGGAATTTGCACAGGTTTCCACTGAGGAGTTTGAAGATCAGATCAAATGATGACTTTTCTGCTTTTTATTCGATTTAAGCGTAAAGCCTTTATTTTGTCTCTGATGTGATTTAGCTTTTCCAAACACTAGTTCCACAGTTCAACACCCACATCAAAAGAAACTATGCTCTCCTCGTCAACTCTCACCATTCTCAGTCCTGTCTTTGTCTTTTTCTGTTTTTTCCTTTCCGTAACATCACCAGGATCAAACAGATTTGCAGAACAAAGTGGTGGATAGTTTCCCTTCCTCCAAATAAGGTTGGCGAGGCAGCCTCACATCGTGTTTATTTGATCTGTCAAATTACCAATCACAGCAGCCTAAACCTTACAGGAGTGGGCTTTTGAAAAAGGAAGAGGACAAAGTGAGCTCTTCAGAGTGAATTAGGCAGTGGACGGTCGGGGCAATGAGAGCAGAAAAATAAATAAATTCTGCCAAAAGAAGTGCTCAAATATTGATTCCTTTATTGATGTTTGCATTGCCTAGAAAAGACAGCAATTTAATTGACATTAGACATAGGTTAACACCAACAATTAGCAACAATTAGTGTGTGCTCTACGTATTAAATGAAAATACATCAGCCCTTCTGAAATTACTACCAATTTTCTGATATCATTCTGAGGAAAGTTGGTCCCAATCCTTTCTCTGAGCTGTGAGAAGTTTTAGGAGGTCTGTTTCAAATCACCTCCACAAAATTTAAAAAGGATCATATCTGAGCTCTTTCTATTTTGTGATGGCATTTTAAAGCTTTGGGAGATTTCTTTCTGCATTGGCACTCTGCTTTCAGACCTCGGCCTGATAAGGATTGTTTTGAAAGTCCTCCACTCTTTTATTTTTTTCCATACAGAAAAACAAACTGATTTCAAATTCTTTCAAGATTTTGTAAAATCCCTCACAAACCTTCTTGATGTGAAACTCTGTGCGTTGTTTGAAATATGGAGGGGTCCATTGTTCATTTCTCACCAAAACCTGTATCTTTAAAATAATTGTATTCTTTCCTTTGGTTTTTGTTATTTACAATATTCAAATATTAACAGATTAAATAGAGAAAAAGAGAGAAGAAAAAAAGAAATCCTGTGTGGGAGAAGAGAGCACAAACTGGTGTCTGACAGAGGTTGACTGATGCAGGGACATTATCCCAGGTGGAAACAGGATAAGCTGAACAGAAATACAGAGCAGGCAGTAACAGGGGCAGCTGGAACAAGGGCGATGGAGGACGAGTCGAGTATGACAAGAATCACAAGAACAACCTCAAACAAAAACATTGAACCAGGTAGAAAACAATGACAAAAAAACCCCCCACAAAAAACAACAACACAAAAATTAATCGTTAAAGAGATTAAAAAATATGTGTACTCCAGAATTTGCAGATATAATTGACAATTCACAACTGACATTTTGAGTGCATGCAACAAATTTCCTGAATTGCAATCATGGCAAATGGATGTTTACAGTTCTCCGGATCGCGATGTAATAATTTGCACTTGAAGTGTGCGAGCTGTCTTCAGTTGCGAATGTGAAGCTCAATATTGCGCAACACTTTAAATAAAGCTCTGGTGAAACAGATACTCCAAGACATGTCGGGTGAGAGCTGTGATTAAAAGTGAAAACTGAGAACTTCTGGCGATAAATGCTGCCAACAGGAATAATGAGTCATTTTCACTTTATATCTTATCAAGATTTTTTCTTCCAAAACATATAAAATAAGTGGCCTCTGAAACCCAATGTAGGGACAGGAAGTTCAGGATCATGCCTCATACCTGGCACGGACGGGTGTGTGTCATATCAGCATTGTCATAAGTGTGCGGGGACGTGTGTGTGTGTGTGTGTGTGTGGTTTCCTCCTGGTGTGGCTCAGTTTTGTATAATGCACCCAGCCTGAGGGCTGATGTTGCCAGGTTGTGTAAATAAATTAAAGCAACAAATTACGTTTAAAAGCTTTTCCCTCAGGCCAGGGAAAACTAAGATCCATTATTCATAGCTTTTACTGCCGGGAATCCAAACCAGGTGTGTGTGTGTGTGTCGGTGTGTGTCAGTACTTTTTTGTCAATTATTTAGATATTAACTGCCTTTACCTCATCTCATTATCTCACTGATGAAATTAACTGTCATCTGCATTTTGATGGCAGCGATGAAACTACAACAGGGGCTGTTGAACCTCTTTTTCCATTTTGACACTTGTTATGTTGGTGTGGTGTTTCCATACGCGTCAGTTTCAGGTAAATATATGTATATGTACACATACATACATATATATATTTATATATATATATAAATATATTTATGATGATTTAAAGTGCCACATTTGATCTGAAGTAATTTAAAACGTGAGATTTTGTTCAAATTTCTTTAAGAGTTCAATGGTTTGACTTTTCTACTTTTCGTAACTAACTTAACTCTTTCTTCAGTTGCAGATCATTAACGTCATAGTAATAATTTGGGGCTAATGCATCAAACCATGGGTGGAATGATGCAATAAACAATTCTTGATTTTTAATAAATTTAAAAATCAAGAATTGGATGCCTACATTTCAATTTTATGTGGGGTTTTTCTTCTAGCCTATACTTTGGGGGCTGGAATGTATATATGATCCCTCACAAATATTGTCCCTGAGCATAAACAAGGTTCTGTCATGATTCCAGCTGGATATATGACCCGTCTTCTAGGCGGAGCTCCTTTAAAGTGGTTGCTTTATTGGCACAGACCCAGCTCTTAAGCACGGTTCATAAATTTTCAAGTGTTGTGGTTGGGGCTTTGGGAGGCCAACCCAGTAGTTTAATGTTAGCCTGCTTTATCCATTCTAAAACCAATTTTGATATGTGATTGGGGTCATTGTGCTACTGAACCGCTACTGAATAAATTTCCAGCCACGAATAAAAGAAAATTGATTTGAATTGCAATAAAACACAACATTTTACATATTTAGGCTACATAGTTGATAGGAAAAAAAAATCCTAATCACAACAAAAACAGATATATTTGGCAAAATCAAAGTAAGGCTTTTCAACCTAAGATGACAGTGAAAACTGTTGAGCATGGTGGAAGTGGCATCATATTGATGGCACCTTTGCATTAATATCTCAAAGATCCTTTGACTCACCTCAGATGAGTCAAAGGACTCATGAGCACAGTTGGGTGTAAAACAGAACGACTCCAATCATTCATCAAAACTGGCGGTGGGAAACTAAATGCTGTCTAACATTAAGTTGCATCCTGGCCTCAAGCAGTCCAGGAACCGATCAATTTAAAATATCTCTTCCATTTCTGGTAAGCAGAGTGATAAAATATCCTATCAGAAGTTTGTTGATGGCTGCAAAAACAGCAAGGTTTTTCTGCAATCTGATAAAGGACATTTAAGCAAATGCTAGCGTTAAAGGTTAATTTAAAATTAATTTTTAAAAAGTCACCAGGGATCAAAACTTGCACACTCAGTTTCTGAAAACATTTTAAGACGACCTGCATAACAAGAGAAAGACCCGTTGCCACTTTATAATTAGGGAGAAAAAAAGTTCACAAGTCCTAAAACACACAAAAAAATGGAATGAAAGTGACTAATTAGGATAGAAATAAAACTCTACACGACAAGTGACAGAAAAATAAATCAGGGTGAAACCATCAGGCAGAGTGTACCACAAAGTCGCAATAAAATATAAAACAGGAATTAAGTAGCATTTTTAACCTTCAGTGCTTATTGACTTCCGACTTAATATTTTTTATATTTTCCAGAGCGCTTAGTGCAATTTGATGTTTCTGAGTCTGCAGGGAACCACTGTGAAGGACTGGCTCCTTTCCATGCAGACTTCCTCCTGTTACAACCATTAAGTCCTCTTTTTTTTCAATTGCCTCATAATTTGGCTAAAGTTGACATGGGAACAGTGCAGCCATAGGTCACATTCTCCTCACACCACCTGCTGCGAGGATAAACGGAAAGACTGGAGAGCGAAAGGGAAGAAGGGAGAGAGAGGTAAACATAGGTTACTGTTTTTTAAAGCCACGGTGGCTAACAGCGTGCTTCTGTATTTCTACAACAGAAAGGCCAAGTGTTTAAGTAGAAGAATAAATTTTTGTTGACAATTTAAGACTTACGAATTTGGATTTTAGTGACATAAATGTGACTTTGATACAATTAAGAACCTCTTGTACTGTTCGAAACACTTATTTCTTCTTTATATTTGCGAATGGAGATAGCGTGGACTAAAAGTGAAAAAATGAAGCTGTCAAAACTTAGCAACAGGCTTTTTTGTTCAATTACAAAGCAGTTTGTCATGAACCTGTGTAATTTAACAAAAAATTATTTTGTATCTTCATTTTTTAGCAAGAAAACTGACCCAAACCTACTGCTAACATCATGCAAGTATCTTCCAGAAAAGAAATCAAAGACAATATTTTAAAGTAATACTCTTTTAATGATCAGATGAGAATAGACAGAGAATACAATTGCTGATGCTATGATGTGTATGATTCTTCTCCACCTCCTTCCAGTTCCTCACATCTCCCTTTTGTCGTTGTCCAGTTTTTTCCCACCTCCTCTCCCTCAGAGTTCTTCTGAACCAAAAGCTGCAAAACAGTGAGAGAAAAACATAGATAATGAATGCAATGAAATCCGTCCAGCGATTTAAATTCTCACAAATATAGTTCTTTAAGTACAAGCCCTTCCACTTCCCCAAAAACCCAGTAGGAATAACTCAAAAGTTCAATGTATAAATTGATTATTACTCATGTTCTTTTTTTCTGTTTTGTTCATTAGCCTTGAACATATATTTAAATAAAGTTTTTCTTCTGCCTGTTATAATTAACCAGTAATTCTACTATGTGCAAGCAGTTAAGTACTATTTTTTTTTTGTGAAGAATTACACTTGATAGTTTAATGTTAATCTTGAATCAGGACGTTTACAGAATATTCTCACCGTGTTATAATGAGCTATAACCTACATATTTAACTTCATTCCAAATCCAGACATGTAATTATGAGGGTGAAAATGTATAAATTATCAGATGGGATGATGAAAAAGACAATTTATTTGTAGCAAATCTTAAATTTTTGTGGTGGTGAATTAATGTGAGGGATGTTTTCTTACATGTGAAGGTTTCAGTAAGCTGATGAATACCTTCCTCTTCCTCATCAGGAGCTACCAAGCTTGCTGCGAAGGACCATATCATCTCCAGCCAGTCATCGCTCTCCTGAGGCGTGATGTCACTGTGAACTCCAGCCGGGCTCGGCTTTAGTGAACGAAGAGCAGCTGAAATGAAATGCAATTGAAGAGAAAGAGGTTGAATAACTTTGAAGGGCTGAAGGTGAACTTTGATCTTTAGCTAGGTGTACAATGAGGGTACTTTTATCTGAAGTGAATTATTTCAGCCTTTGTGTGAATTTTATGTGATTCCCGTTGGCTGGTTTCTCATCAGCAACAAAAAGTGAGTTTTCTTACAGGCAGCTTTTGCAACTTTTTTTGTGAACACAGAATGTTAACTATTTGTTGTATCCGCTCACATCACTAGTTTGCAGCCAACTTTATGTTCAATTTTCATATCACCCCGCTACCAGTACCAACATCCCGTCCTGCATTTGGATATGTTATCACCCTTGGGAAAAGTTTCGAGTTAAGTATGGAAGGATTTGGCATCTGTACCATCAGTTTCAGCTTTGCGGTGGAGAAGGAAGCATTTTTAACAGGGAATTCTTCCCTGTTGTGAGGTATAAATAAAACCTCCTCTCTGACAGTAAAACACTTTTTGCATTTGAGCCGCAGTTAGAAAATTTCACAACTTCCTTCAATCTCTGAGCAACCACCCAATTTGGAGTTGTGTGCACTTCCAACTAAAATGCACCGATTATGCATTTTGGCTGCTGTGTGAGGTTCTCTTTGGTTTCATCCAGTGCAATGGTAGAACAGGATGGAATATAAATTCCTTGAAGCGCTCCGAAGCACTGTGCATGTTGTGAAGTTGAAATCTTCTTGTCATGAGGGCAGTCTACTTCTCCTTACTGCGTTCTTGATGTACTCCAGCAGAGAACATCCATGTTTAATGTCACAGTGAAGGAAGCCTCAAGCAACCTCACAACTTAGTTCATATTAAATTAAAAGAATTTATTTGGCGTTATAAAAATATAATGATTTAAGATCATGATGCTGGTATATTCTGCAGACTCGACAATTTTTAAGCCACAACGTGACTGGGATCATGATGAAAGTTTTTATATTTATTTTTTTTATGTTTCACAGTCAGATGTCTGAGATTGACTTGTACGCTATAATGTTACATAAGTCGAGTGTGGCACTAACAAATGGAGGGAGCGTGTTTCATCTCACCTCGAGCCTTCAAGCCTCTCTTTGCGATGGCAGGAGGAGGAGGGAGTCCTGAGCAGGAGACGCGAGTGAAAGACAATCAAAACAACAGCAGGATGTGGAGAGAAAGCAAGAAACAAGTAGGCGAAAAAAGAGAGAAAATGTAGAGAAACATACAATATGCCCACAACATGTTTTATCTAAATGAGTGATTTTGTTGAGATTTGGAAAACAATAAAACATCACACGTAACTTTTCAAACGTGCTCTTACATGGTGCTGATTGCATGCAGAATAACACCATTGCAGGAAAAAGCAACAACACACATGCCAAAAATAATGTTAAGCATTTTACCTGGTCTTCTGTCTCTGACATTGTCTGTATAGATATAAGGCAATCTCTCACTGACATTTTCCATTACAGTACAACAAGCAACCAAAAAATAAAAAATAAAATAAAATAAATTCCACCACAAAACGATTGGGAAACATGATGAATGATGACACAGTCTTGTTTCATTTTAGTCTTCTGACATATGCTTTTTTTGAACAAATATTTTATTGAAAAAAAAACTGTCTGTATAAAGGATAAAGGAAACCTATTAGAGATTGGTGTAATCTGTCTTTTATTCTGAGCATGCAAGATTCCCTGTCTATGTTTTCCACTCCTGTTAGAATCAGAAAACGAGATTAGAAAATGTGTTCAATAATTAGTAGCATTTCACCAATTTCAAACAAAAATTACTATTTATGGGCGAATTGAACATGCACAGCAAGAGATAAGAAAATGTCAAGGGAAAATGCTTCAAAAAATAGGCTACATTGATAGTGTTGGGTAGAGGTTTTAAATATGTCACTACAAGTAACTTTAGAGGGTTTTTCTGTAACCAGTTGACAGCAATTATATGATTTCCAACTTTGGTCAGGAAATTATCATTATTATTTCTAAACAGCAAACACACGATATGCAAGCGCCACCATGTGGACACAAAACAATCTAAGAGGCCAGCTGAACGGAAACATGTTCATTAAGAATGTGAGAGAGCGAGAGAAAGCAAAACTTCAATCGGGAAACAAACCTGAACGCTAAACAGCGTAGAAGCAGCGTACATATCCAAATCTGCGAGACACGTTGACCTAAGAGATACAGTTTTCGCTACAACAAAAGAAAAGGATGAAGGGATTTCTCAGCAGAATATTGATGCATCTTTGTAAACAGACTGTAATGTCTCCCTCAGAGATAAATCAAAAAGAAAATACCTTCTTCATTTCTTTTTTCAAACAAGCTTTGCTGCTATTATTGTTCTTCTGCTTATCATATATATATGTACATATATATATTTACATTGTTCTTATATTTTTCTTAAGAGGTAATCTGAATCAGTCAAAGTTTCTGAAAGTTTGGAAACTAGCCTTCTGTACTATACTTGGTGCATTTTGTAATATTTCCAAATGCAACTGTGAGAATATGAATTATCTGCTTTAATTTAAGAACCTGCATAGCGTGTGGTTGTTAGCACTATTTCTCCAGAGCAGCAGGGTTTCTGGTTTAAATCTTCCCAAGCAGAGAGCTCCAGTCCCTTCTCCTCATCACACCAGAATCTGATTGGCTCAATTTAATGTTTTTCTGTTCTGTGGGTAACCAGTTGAAATGTTACGCCTAAGTTTTCTGGGCTTGCTCCCTGGTAATGATAATAATAAAATAAAATCCAATTAGTGGTGTCTGAAAGGTAAAGCATTATGTTTATTTGTGAAAATAAATCATTGTATTATTTAAGGAAGAAAAATTACAGTTGTCATTAAAAAAAACCACGGCTAGGTCCTGAAATGCTTTAATCCATAAGTTAAACGCACCAATATCTCTCACTTGTAAAAATAATTGTTTTTAAGGTGCTGACAGCTTTAAAAGCTGTAATCATGCAGCATTTCTGCAGTGCAGTTCTTTTCCATTTTTCTCTCAGGGACCAGTGAATTGGCAGATTCATCTCTTGTGTCTGCGTGTTGTGATGAGTGTCGCCTCCAACGTGCTAAATGCATTGTTTTAATTATCTCTGTGGATCTCTTTAATTTTCCCTCTGGCAGATGGAAGTTGCGTTCTGCCTGTTCCTCTCTCAGTGTGGGGGAGTTGCAAAGGCTAATGAAGCCTCATAAACAACTGATTAATGCTCTAACATTTCTTTGATTGGCACTCAACCCACAGGCAGAAAATCCTAAAATGGATGGACTTTCCTTTTGATAATTACCTTTTCTATGATATCATTTGGTCTCCGTTGCTTCCTCAAAGCGTGGGCACTTTCCTCTACTATCTTTTGAAATGTATTTCATCTCACTTTGATGTCAATTTCCTCTGTGTCTTTTTCTCTTTTATTCTTCCTGCTCTGCAAAACCTTTCAGATTTTTGTAGTTTGCCAAGAATCTTGAGATCAAACAGGTATAAACAAAAGGAAAGAAAAACACTACATTTTGTTTACAGTTAAAAACTGTTAAAAACTGTAAACAAACCAGAAGACAATGAGCATAAATGAAAGCAATTGGTTAAGAAAGTAATAAGATATTAATTACATGATATAATTCATTTCCAGGTGACAGATATTGAACTGACAATAGCTTGAAACAATTATATTTTGCTAAGAGCCAGTGAAAAAGATAATTTTTTCTCTATTTCCAGTGATCCTGCTCAGTGCATTAAGGCTTCATTTCTCCTTTTCTCCATTTCATTGACCTCAGCCAATGTCTCCTCTAAATTACTTTCTTTTTTATGTAGTTTGTCAGTTTGTGTTTTTTTTGCCTATCTCTGTTGCTTTTACACTCATACATTTTATTCACCTCTTTAGTATTTATTTATCTTTTTTGTTTCTTCTTTTTTTTTTTTTTTTTTTTGCATTAATCGGGACCAGCTATTGACACCTTCAGCCACGCCTGAAGGTTTCAGATAAGGATTATGGTTCGGTATAAACAGATTTATGCTCACGCCTCATTTTGTATGAGGCTCCAACAGTTTTTCTGCAAGATTTTCAACGATATATCTTAGCTTTTGACTAAAGACATCTTTTTGTGTTGTCACGCTGATGTTTTTCTTCTTTCCTTTTTTTTCTTTTTGCAGTGCGTCCGACTTTTAAACTTTTGCATCCATGCATGCATGCGGCACTCTGCAGGCAGTTGGTGCAGTCAAACAGTGGTTTAGTTGCTGGTTTACCAGGTGATAAACACACGGGGTCGTCACAGTATGACGTGTAGTCTTGGTGTGATGGGATGGCATGAGGATGAGGAAGGAGTGATTGGGTGGAGGGTCAAAGAAAAAGGAAAGTGAAGACAAGAGTTAAAGATGGGTTTGTTGAATGTGCGGGACAGGAGCATCCTTCCACTGAAGGATTGTCCAGGTACATGAACAGGTGGCGGGATGAAGAAATCTATGCAGCAGAAGATTTGCCGCATCGTTTCTCTCATGTTGGTGTGTGAACATCAAGGGGATTCTAATCAGGATGCTCTTTAAATACTATATGTAGCAAATTTTGGAGGGGAAGAAAAAAACATAGATTGTTGCTTCCATAGCAACATAGATCAGCTAGATAACTTTGCAAGGCTTATTAATATTTTATAAATACTTGGAGATAGATGGCAAGGATCATCGTAGAGAAAAAAACACAGTCAGAGCACTTCACATCATTAATGTGTTTATTTTTTGAAAAAACGAAAGTGCCGTGATCCCTGATAAAACATGTGGTGGTAAAGTGCAATAAAGGAGTGTGACTGTGTATTTCTCAAAACGCTAATGTTATCTTGTTTCTAATTAAAACAGCCTCATCGTGTATCATCTTCTGATGTTTAGTACCCCTGAGGCGTTATAAATACAGCCAGAAGGATCCACTGACTGTGTAAAAATAGCCACACTGTGGGTTTTCACATAAATTTATTTGGACTGAATAAGAAATTTCTCAAACTTGATCTCATCATGAATTGCAAACCAGTTAGATAAAGCAAAAAAAAATAAATAAAAATTACTTGTTTATGTATGTATAAGTGCCTATGAGCATGATCTTGTAATCTGGCGCTTAAAGTGTCTTTTTGACTATTTTGAAGTGCTTTATAAACTTATTAACCTCTTCAAATTCTTCACATTATGACAGCTCACAATCACAGACACGGATGTATCGATTTTATGTGATAGCCAAAAATAGTTGCACACAATTATGAAATGGAAGGAAAATTTAGAGAACTGTGATGAATCATTTCTAGATTGGATTCATGCTGCACCCACAGCCAAAATATTTTGAGGTTATCTCTCTTTGGGCTTTGCATATCTAGAGACAGAGGAGTTTTGTCCATTTTTAATTTGTTGAACAGTTCAAACCAATTCAGTTTCATTAGAGAGCGCCTGTAAAAATCCATTTTCAAGTCTTGCTGCAGAAATCTAAAACATGTTCCCTGAAACTCCGACCTGCCATCTTCCTCCACTGTAGAAAAGAAAAAAAAAACTCCCTCCCCTATCACAACTATGGTCTGCTTTGTCCTGGTGTTGGGGAAATTGTATATAAGGCCTCACTGAAGGAAGCAGTCGACATGAATGTTGTGAGAAAGATTGCGGCTGCAGTCGGTGTCAGCAGATAAGGGCTCGGCAAGAAGTTCCCGTGTCCTTGACACAAAGATTGTGTGAAACTGTATAACTTGTTTTTGTTTTATTGTACATGGACATGTGTTCCAGAAGAATCATGTTGCAGATATGACCCATTTTCCTGCTACATGCATGTAACTGGGGAACCCCCCGAAACAAATAAAAAGAGAGGATTCCGCAAGATGTGTTTCAGAGCGGTAGGAGATTGTAATTCTGTCCGTTCTCCTCGCGAGTAAAAAGAATCTAACCCTCTTGTTTGTATAAATGTTCAAAGTGCTTCGACCTGACACTGGGTCAGTCACATAAAAATCCATCAAAATGTGTAATAATGGAAAAGGGCAATTTATTTATTAGATTTCTACTCATCAGTGGAGCCTCATCATGGGGCCAACGGGCCGACAATCTCATGAGAAAAGAGGACATAAAAAGAGGAGATCCTAATTGTTACATTCGCTTCAATCTTTCACCAATGTAGCTGCAAGCTCGACGAAATTCATTTACCCATTATCTCGTAGCAATGAAGTAATTAAAGCGTGATCACAGAAAACCAAATGTGATCACTCAGTACAATTAAGTTGTAAAATGAAGACAAGATATGTGAGGGGGGGAGAAAAAGCTCCTTGTTTCTGCACCAGAAAATTGTGTCGACTGTGTTATTAAACAAATCGCGTTACTTTAAGCTCTTTGCCCTAATCATAAAGTGAGGTTATGGTTTTAAAACACATCTTAGCAGCAGGTGGTACCCTTTGAATCATTTCTACAAGTGTGTGAGTCAGCTTTTTAAAGAGCGGGAATGAGGATGTAGCTCAGTGTACGAAGAGCTCCTGCGCTGCTGTATTAATTGCAAAAAAGAGGAAACTAATTAAAGTGAACTTGGAGCTAAAGGTATGAATAGAAACAGGAAAAAGAGTCATTTTCAAAGTATCTTCTTGAAATGAGGGGGAAACACCTTTCATTCTGCTGCTTTAACCCCTTAACTTGCGGTAACCCATCCATGGGACAAATCTAGTTTGTCTGAATGCTCTGCCTTTATCGCTGCCAGGTGAGAAGTTTACCATCTACAGTTGAATCAGATGTTTCAGTTGATGAGTTTTAATAAAATAGGGGGGTGAAAATGACGACCGTCAAAACAGCACGTCCACTTTTGAAGCCGTCTTCAAAAAAGTCTGACGGGTTTATCGGGTGAAGAATGAATGTATGACTGCAATGCAAAAAATACATCAAGGATGAGAAGATGGAAGTTGTCATTAGGTGCAAAGACAAAAAAAAAAAAAAGAAAATGAAAAATCTTAAAACCACATTATAATCCCAATTAAGATGGCATTATAACAATTATTAAAAAGAAAAGAATTGAACATAAAGTATATTGTATGAGATTAGTGGGTGTGTGAAAGTACATAATTGTTACCTGTTAGGGTCTTGTAATCAAGCAGATCAAACAGCACGATGGCCACGCCTGACCATGTGAGGACCAGGGCCACAACCAGCAGCCAGGCCATGGGCGAACTGAAGGTTAAAATGATGTCATCCAAAAACGTCCTCTGATTGGACCGGGACGGCGGGCCAGCTTCTCCACCGCTGGTCTGACCGCTCATTGTTGAATGGAGCTGGAGACAGACTGAGAAAAAAACACAGTCATTTTACACAGTCATAATGTTTATTACAAGTTTATATAAAGCTGAAACCAGATATTAAGGTGATGATGTCAGCAGCGCTGGAGTTAAATTAGGAATCAAAAGTTCTTTAAGGTCAAACACACTGCTTTACTGTGCTACAGCAACAAGGTTGTGGATTGCTTGTTCTTATTCTCTAAGGAATAAGAACAAGGAATAAGGAATTCTCTAAGGAATAAGAACAAGGAATCCACTTTCTCCATTTGTACTTAAGAATTGTTTAATTGTTGCAAACCCACAATATAAACTTGTTTTACCGCTTGAAAAGTATCTTTTCCTGTGTGAAAAAACAAAAAAAAATATCCAGCAGGTTATTTTTTTTTGTCGTTTCAAAATGCCAAGCTACAGTACAAAATGCTTCTGATTTTTAAAGAATAATAATAGAAACGTACACTTTATTGTAAATTACTTTAACAGCTGGTATACAGATGGAAATGAGTATTTTGTTCTTATTCCTTAGAGAATAAGAACAAGCAATCAGCACTTTTGTTGTTGCTTTGTTTTATTTTTGATTTTCTCCTGTTTTTTTTTGTTGTTGTTTTTTTTGTATTTCCCCTAATCCATGCAATGTGCTATATAGATAAAATTACCTTATGTTACCCCTTGATCTGATAAAGATTGCATAGCGCTGCTCAAGCTATTTCAGTATAGTCGACATTAAAATGAAAACGACACAAGGCGCATTGCTTAAGACAAATCATTTTTTTAAAACATCTTTCGGCGTTGTTGAATCATAAGCAAACTGTATCATGTAGCGCTGGGATCGTCCCACAATAAATTTATGTCAGCGAAGCCAAGTCTGTGCAAACTGAAATATAAACTGCATGATTAACAAGCCAAAATGCAGGAGGTGTTTATTCACGCAGATGACGGTGACTCATTTGAATATGTTCGGTTTATCCACGCAAGTGTGCACGATATGAGGAGGCGCGATGAATCAGAGTGAGAGAAAATAATGAGAGGGGAGACAGATTACATCAACAGCGTGAGATGAATTACTTCTCCAAAGAAACTTTTCATCATCCTGTGGCAGAGGGGATGAGCTCTGATAACACGGTCATGTGCAAGTGTTGAGCTGTTTCACTTAATTTATTTTTCTGTTTCCTTGTTTGACTCTCGTGGTGTACATCCATCGTTACAAAGAGATAATTACTTTTTGTCACTCTGAATGTCCAGCTGAAGGGTTCATTATACCTGTCTCATTTAGCGAATCAGGAGACGATTCTGTGAAAGTGGAGAAAATGTTCCAGCCCATAGAAATACAATTAGGGAACATTCAAGCCAACTTATGCCTGCAATCTGTGTCTGACTGGGTAAATTAGCTACATTATGGCATATTTCACAGCTTCCACCTTCGATTGCAAAGAAAAGATTAGTTTAACTGGACTTACTGCAAGTTTGTGCACAAGAAAGAAGACCACTGTTAGAGAAAGATGACAAAAACACTGTTCTGGTGACAGCGAGCAAAAAAGCCTTTATGTTTTACGTAATTATTTAGAGATAATAGCCAGTGATGCATTTCCTGAATTTTCCCTCTGTGGGACAATAAAGGCTTTCTCTACTTTATTCTTTTTGAAGATAATAAGCACAACATGTTAGCCGCGCGTTCTGGTTTTAACGTCACGGTTCAGTTCATTTTTGGAACTTTTTAAAGGCTTCACACAAGAAAAATAAATAAAAATATATATACTATATGTTACCTTTGGTCAGAAAAAAAAATCAATTTCTGAAATTTATTTGAATGTCCTAAAACTTAAAAATGCAACATAAAAAAAATGAAGAGCTGAGTGGGGAATTAGCGTTCTTAGAAAAAGGAGCATTAGCAGGCAGAGCCAACGAAGACACACACAGATGGACAGAAGGACAGATTAAATAATATAACCATCTAAAAATTGTCAATGTTGAGAAGAAAACATGTTTAAAAAATTTTGGAGGTGTTTTGAAAACCTGAATGCAGCTGGCTTTGTCCACTGGTGTCTAGGAATCGTCTTATTGGAGGTCATCCTTTGCTCCTTTGTTTGCAGACCTGCTGTCACACCTGGAACCACGTCCTCCCTCTCGATGGGCTGCATAAAAGCTTCAGTGATTTAGGGGGACATCCCTTTGCCCTGGGCATTTCTGTGATGTGGTTGCCTCTATTTCAGAAATGTTGTTTTTCATTCAAATAGGACCTGATTTAGTTTTCAAGCCAGAAGGAGTGCATTCCTTTGTTGTTTTGACCTTGGAAATGTTTAACAAGATTGAATTTTGGGTTTGTTTTATTGTCTTTTGTGAAAACTGTGCTGGAGAAGCAACTGTTAACAGATTGCGACATGCTTTCTGAAGCATTTTGCTCCAGTCTGACATTATTCCTCAGGAATAAAATTCTGCTGCATAGGAATCACCGCAGATCAGACAAAGAGGATACAGCAACTGAAAATGATTCAACCTTATGCATCTATGTCAGAATGACTCTAAAGTTCAGCAAAACATGATCCATACCAACATGAATGTAAAGGCTGAAGCAAACCTTGATGGTGTTGAAGTTTTTATTTGATTGATTTGCTCACCTGTCTTCGTCTCGTAAACTTTTTATTTCACATTTACTACCTTAATGAGTTATGTCACACTTGGATCATGTTCACTGCTTATACTTGGGTAACTTTTTCTGTGGACCGATTGTAGGTTTGTCTGCTTGGTAATCTTTCCTTGGTGAGGGATGCTGCATAGTTGATACCTTAAAATCAGACTCATCTATTCCATGAATACATTTATCTTTATAGCCTACTTCTATGTCCTTTTTGCCAAAGTATTTCACTCATGGCTCACTGGCTTTCCCACAGTCATACAGAACACAAGTAAATACCACGAAAGATCAAATGTCAACAAAAAAATAATGAAAGGATTATTTTTTTGTTTCAGCTCATTAGCGATTCTTAGCAACACTCTGCCATGTAAACTAATACGCTATGCAATAAAGAAAGCTGTTTGGTTGAGCGTATTATTTTATTCAGATGGAGAAACTCTATGTGAAGTGATTCGGTTTTGTAGCAAAGTCTGACCAGTAGTTTTAAGATATATCTGTTACTAACAATCTGGAGAACTGATGCGCTTTGATTTTGTGGTTGACCTTTCCATTGCTCCATTCGTTTAACGAACTGCAAAATCAATTTCGCATAGCTCTACTCCCACATGCTGATGTACATTTCTGCATGTGTCTGAGTGAAGAGGGCCAAACTCTGGTGTGTAAAAAAAAAAAAAAAACATCACTTGTATGGGTAGCTTGTTGCTGAAAGTCACTGTGCATGTGATCAAAGGATCTCCATCAATCAAAGGAAGCGCTGACCCATTGAGCATTGTTACAATGATTGAAGACTGGAGTGTCATCAACATGTCTTGCAGCAGACTGAACACAATGCTGCATTGTGCAAGTCTCCCCATGTGCAATGTATCATTTTCCCCTTTCAGGCCAAAATCCATGCCAAAGTCTGCAGCTATTTTCTCTTTCAAATGCGTCTGTCCTGTTCGCAAATGACCCGGCCCACCTGTTGTTTCTGCTTCATGCTGGGCTGATCTTCACACACGCTCATGGACTCCAACTGCTGTTGCCTTGCTCTCACCACAGGAGGAAACAGAATTAGAACAATGTGGGTGCAGTCTAGTTTCTGGCATGTGAGGGCAAATGAAAGGCAAGAAAAACTCTTGACAATGAGACTGACTGAGCAATGTGAGAGTGTGTGGAACAAAATCCACAGCTCTCCGTTCCTCTTTTAAAGACGTACTAAGCGTCTTGGAATAATAAATTCATTGTTCTTTGTTGCAGCTTAGTCACCTGAATGCAAAACAAATTATAATTTGAGTGAATTTATTCATTATTCATACATTCAAGAATTATCGTGTTGTTCCTCTTCAAAATCACTAACACCACCTTTGCTGGCATCCCTAACAATCCTTACAAAACAAGTACAAGTGAGGGTATTTTACCTTTTTTCTTTTGTTATAGTGCCTCTGATTTTTCAAAATACCTAATTGTGATGTGAGCTAAATAAATCTATTACATTTAAAGATTAGAATTTTTTAATTTATAGTTTTTAGTTTGAGGTTGTACTACTGCAACAACCAGATACATTTATTTTCAATCAACTTTTTACACAGCTCTCTCATTGTACAAGGTCATCCAGTGAACGAGAAGCATTTTAACCAAATATTGTTTAGTTAATTGAATATTTGCCGTTAGGGATAACGCATATGTTTAGTTTTTACTGAAGTTACACTTTGGGTTATTTTCTTTTTTTAAAATTTTGTTGGACAAGTACTCCTGAAGGACAACAAGGCAATATGCAATTACCAAGTCAAATCATCATCATCTTTGTACAGAACCTGTGTGCAACGATCACTCAAGCCTGCTAACACGGCCTTTTCTCCAAAAGCCAAAGAGTTTACATACTCCTAACACTGAACATTTTAGCGGATGCAGTCAATATTCACAAATAATTAAAGACGCTATGTTGAAGCTACATTTTAAAATAACTTAATGTTGCAGGGAAATAAGTTTAAAAAGAAAAGAAGAGGAGAGAAAAAGTAGTTTGTTAATGATTTAACATCAAAGTAGGATATTTATGAAAAAAACTGTAATTTCCAGTCTGGATTTCACAGTCCCCCATGAATACCAAGACACTTCCAAGAGATCTCAAGTTGTTTGAAAGGAAAGAGGAGGAAATGTGCAACATAGATATCTACTGTTTGAAGTTCTTTAGAAATACCAAATACTTTGAACTCCTCAAGCTGCAGAAATGGAACACGTTGCTTCCTTTTTATGGGGTCATGAGCTAAAAGAGTTGGAAAGCACCGGCTGAGAAGAAGCAAACCAGAATAATGGCTGAATGTTGTCTGGCGTTGAATTATAGAAATGGGTGGAATTTATGAGAGACTGTCATCACCTCAATGAGGAAGAAGACTGACTGAAAAAAATCCACCGATAAAAGGATCTGAAATGTGACTCAGCGCCTGTCTGACTTGAAATTTCACCTCAGAGAAATCGGCACAATTTAATTCATCTTCCTCTCTGCTGTCTCCAGTTTCACTATATATGTGTATCAAAATCAACATAGCAGTAGATAAAATAGAAGAAGGTGGTTATGAGGACGGCAGAGGATTGAACAATCCAAATGGAGCAGACAAAAAAAAAAAAAAAAACAACAAGAAAAAGGAAACAAATAAGGTTGGTAATCAGGTCAAGAGTCATACGCATGTTAGTGTTAACTATGGCCAGGTCTGTTAGCTTTTCTTCAGTACTAAATGAAATATTTGTATGCGTTCAGATTATCCTAATCTACTACTGAAGTATATTTAACGGCATAATAAAACATCAAAACAGAAGAAATCTTTGAGCGGGCAAGTCCTTGTTTGAAGCATCATAGTGGTGTAGATAAATACATTTTATCTGAATGAAAATAAAAGAAACTACATCTATTTCATTATTATTTTAATATAAAATACTTAATTATTGTAATAATTTAATATTGTAAATAATCATATTCTTCAAGCCCTAACAAAAGGTCGAACCTGACTCACAATACTGGGTGAAAACAACAACATGCAGCTTTTCCTTCATGCTTTAAAAAAAAAAAATTGTACAGAAAAACTTAGGATCCCCTCATGTTTCACTCAAATCAATATGATTACAGCAAATATCAGGCAGGGCTCAATCACTTCATAAGTATCTTACCTTTTGAGTTTGATGAATGTTCGCAGACAACTTTTGGTCCTCAGAAATCCTGGAAAAGGCTGCGCTACCAGAGAAACCAGCATGCGACTCCTTCCTAAAATCACTTTCTGTCTCACTTGATTGAAAGAAAGGCAACGTTCAAATCCGGCAGCAATAAGCCCGCAACAGTTGTGCTGAGCTGGATCACAGCAGGGCTAATAATACACTGAAAAGGCCCCCCAGCAGGAGAAAATGAAAGATGCCTTAAAATAATGTTGCTTTGCTCCCCGTTGTGGTGTGTATCTCTTGACTCTTGCGGCTTATATCCGAGAAATTAAGTCAAGGGTTCAGAAATGTAATGGAATCCCGAGGACAGGCAGAAGTTTTGGATGAATAGAAAGGAGCGCAGAGAGGGAGGTCGACCCGCTGAGAGTCACCCCGCCCCTCTGAGGGTCCAAAATAGAGGTAGAGAGTCAATGAGATAGGAGAGCAGCGAGGCTTAAGAAGGAAAACATGAACTTCTTCTTATTAAACAAAGTCATTCACATGTTGAAATCATTTATTTTATTCATGTAAATGCATGTTTAATATTTTTTTGGCAACATTACTCTTTTGACTGATACCTCCAAAATAACAAATGCATTAGTTGTCTCTTCCTGCTTGCTGGATTATTATAATCTAAATGGTGGCAGTACTTTACTCTACACTGCTCTAACTACAACAAAAAACTTTAGGCCATGAAATCTCTCCTATATTTTATCCAGCGAACGTCTCTTAAGAGCTCAGGCCGGTCAAGCAGAGGTCAATTTGAGGACTAAATAAGTGAATAAATATTCTGCCAAGCTCCACGTGAGTTTCTAAGCCTTGTCAGAAGCTGTTTCCGAGGCCCATTTGAAATTATGCCGTGTGTGTCCATGTGTAAGAGCTGTGGGAGGGAGTAACCTGACCCCCAGCCTTGCCCTGGGAGCCCGCACTGCCGAGGCTATAATTAGAGACGCAGACAGCAGCTGGTGTTAACATTGGGCTGGACTGTTTAAGATGTAGGGCGCCTGGAGGCACAGGAACGCTTGCCAGCATCAAACCAACACAACCTGTTTGCTCTGAGGTGAAACCACACACCTTTAAAAGACGGAGAGGGACGTCACCTGAAACGTCTGCTCAGATGATTGGCTGAACTTTGAACTACAGAGAACCAAGAACAGGTTTAAGCTAGAAAACATGAAAAAAGTTACTGTGTATCATGAAAAGAGACATTTTATTATTAGTTTTGTTTGCATTACAGCAATATGGCCAGAAATATCCTAATATTACATTTTTTGATTAGAAAGTTTTGTTTTCTTCAGATGGTATCATCTTCGTTATGATTAATTCTTTCTTAATTATCCAGTCACATATTTTTTTTTCTACATGGATAAATCCATAGATTATTCTCATATAGTTATAAATCAAGGGCAACAAAATGATATAAATGTGAAGTGTTTTCTCCAGAGTGCGCAGGTGAATCAAAACCTGGTTCTTAAATTCCCATCCTGTAATCACAGTTTGTGTCGCATGCAGCTTCAGCCAGATAGATTTATGAGACAATAATTCATTTTTCAATTAGTTAGACGGCATCACTGCTTATAAAACTATAGATAAACTTGATCTGACACTGATTAGGAAATACTGTGTTTTATTAATCGCTAAAGTGTCAAATCCGTTGTGTTTCTCTTCTCATTTGTCTGAAGTAAATGACTGTCAGAATCTTTTTTTTTTTCAGGGTTTGGAGTTTTGTTCATTTGTTATCTCTGTCTGACTTAGTTATTTTTATTTTGTTAACATCAACCTCATGTCTCTTGTACTTTAGAACAGTCCACTCTTAGTTATTTTGTGTGTTTGCCATTATTTCATGTCTTGTTGGTGTTATTACTCCTTACTCACCCGTGCCATCTCTGTCTCTCTCTCTCTTTCTGTCTCTTATTTAATTTTTCAGTAACCTTTCAAAATCTATTTTCTGCCTCTGTCTGTTTTCAGAAACATATCAACAATGCTGATTGTTAAACATGCAATAAAATGACAAAATACACTTTCTAATTTCTAATGACATTTGAACATGTTATGGAAATTGCACAGGGATTCACCTTAAACCTTCTTAAACTTACTCTAATCAAGTGTACTTTCTAAACAGCTATAGTCACATAAAGGGAGCAGGTACAGTAAAGTACAGGCAGGTAATTTAATACTGCTGCCTTCTCTCCGTATGAATCAAGACTTTGAAGAGATCTGACATGAAACTCCTAGGTGTTTATTTCCATATACATATATATTTTCAGTCAATCCAGACAATCACGTTCAAATATGACGGATGATCCAGTTTCTAAGGAGGGAGAGTTTTATTGCTTCTCAGTGCCTGGCACAAGTCAGAAGACTGATGTTTTATCAAACCACACTTCAGATTTCTCTGCACCTCGGCTTGTAAGCAAGGACAATTTCACACCTCAGGCAGCTACAAGATGCAGCTGGATATGATGTGACCAAGAAATTGCTATAGCGCCTCCAGGTGAACTTTCAATGCTCGTGTTTGGAAATTCAGACCTTTTGATATTTGCCAGACAGGCAGATAATCCATCTTGTTCTACATAAATGATGTGAGGATGACACCCCGAGGATGATAAGACTTTGGATTTGACTGTGGAGACTGCAGGGCAGATGGCACACCCACTTTTAAAGATATGGATGCAGCCTCCAGATTTCTGGGTTCAACAACAACAACAACAACACTGACGACACAAATTTAACCAAATACAGCAAGTAGGAAGAACATGTGAACAGATCACTATGATGAACTTTTTTTGTTAAAGAATCAGATTGAATATCTATTTTTTGAATTGTCTATTCCTCACAATGAGACATAACACTGCTAGAAGGGGTTGCAAACTTTATTCAGTCTCTGACAGACAACAGACTGTCAGAGACAGAAAAGAACATCAAAATGCTGCAACCTTTGAGTGAACTTTCTACAATTCTTACCATTTTTAACAAACTCGTGCCTCAGGCTTTTTGGGTTGTTGAATGGCTAAATTCAGGGCAAACATGAGCGTGTTTGTGTTTAAAGAAATCAGACATTTTGCTCTGCTTATATAACTTAAGCTTCAGAGCTACCTTTAAAGGTCAAAATAAAGTAGGACTCTACGGACTTAGAAAAGTGTTAGTTGCCTTTACATTAAAAATGTTTCTAAAGCGGCCTCGGAAGTGAAAATGTTAGACTTGAAAGTGGAAACATCTAAAGAAATGTGAATGTCATAAAAATGCTAGAAATGTTTTCTATAAAGTGAAACGTATTATAAACAGCCGATACACATAGTTATGGAAATTTTGATAATTGTTGCTTACATAAAAAAAAGCCCACAGTTTAATGTCTCAGAGTCCACAAATTGCTTTATCTGCTGTATCTGACATGAAAGTACTTAGAGAATTAAAATGCTTGTATCTTCACAGTGCAGCGTTAGAGGTCTTAACCCAAAAAGCACATGGTGAACATGAGGATGTTATTGGAGCAGATGTGAGGAACACTAAAGTCATTCATCATGTGTCTGGTTCTCCATAATTCTCTCTGCACCCTCATTACTGCCTGACTTTTTCACCCTCCAACTTTCTTTCCTGCGTTTCCCTCCACACTTTCTTCAGCAAACTTTATGTTCTCCCTTCACCTTTTGGTCCCTTCCGCCTTCGCCTTTCTATTTGTGTTTTGTTCTTCAAAAAAAAAAAAAAACTTGTTCTCTTTACTTGTGTAATCCTTTACTGATTACTTTCATCTCTCTGCATACTTTGCTCATCTGTCTTTGTCACTATTTATCTACACTTTGCCTTGACAGTCTATTCTTCGCACTCTCCGAGCAAGAAATCACACACGCCCAACACTTCTTATTAAATTAGTAATAATGTCACCATGCTTCCTCCCAGGAGGCTAGTGTTATTGACTTCATTATGCAAATGAAAAACCAGCCCAAAGCTATACCACTGATGGGGTAGGACACACATACACACACTGTTTGTAGGGCAACTGAGTTGGCCAGGAATAATTTCTTGCTGCTTTTGATAATTATGTCAACCAGTGAAGTTGATGTGTGTATTAACATGAAAATCTGCTAAGCCCAAAAGTCCTGCGGCTTGTGTTGTCTCTCTTTTCATGCGACAATGAGTCAGAATAGAATGGAATCAAAGAGAGAAGTCAATAAAATCACTTAATTTTGTTTATGTATCAAATATTACATCAATATAATAAAATAGCATCAGTTGTCATTCTTGAATGTGAAGATTAAACCATAAGTTTACATGCACTGAATCAATAGACTCTCTCTATCAGCCTGAAGTTAAACCGGACCAAAGTTCTCTTGTTTTACATCAGTTGGAATCAACCAAATTATTTCTATTTGCAAAATTTCACAAAGAGAGAACAAGATTAAGAGATTTATAGGTTAGCTGAGACATTATCGTTTTTAACAGTTGGGATAATTCTTATCCCAACTTAATCGTGAAGTGTGGCGGTGGCAGCATCATCACAGGCTGTTCTGAGTTGCAACGCTTCAGAGAATAGATGCCATCATAAGGAAAGAACACGATGCAGCAAAATATCAACCATTAAATCTTGTTCACAAATGAGTCTTTGAAGTGAGCCCAGCACATACAGCTTCGTTGGTTATGAAGTGGCTTGGACAACAAAGTCAGTGTATTGATGTGGCCAACGCAAAGTTCTCATTTTCATCCTATGACGAAGTTGTGGGCAGATTTGAAAAGGTGGTGTGTGAACAAGGCGTCCCGAAACTCTGACTCACTCTATTCTGTCCTGAGTTTCTGATCCACTGTGGAGTCACATTTTTGAGCAGTGTAACGCCGTCGGACGCTGCCATTGCTAAAATTCCCAGTGATTTTGTAACACCCCAGTGGGATGAAAAAAAATCAATGGATGTAAAAGCCAAAATGGACGTGTCCAACAAGCACCTGTTTTGCCAGAGAGCTCCTACGTCTTTTATATTTTGGCCAGGAAGTTGAAACCCTCTCATCTCTGAGCATGATCAGACAGACTCGCAGCTCTCTCTGCAGTTCTGGCACCGACTGCAAAGAGTTGAGCCGCTATGCTGTGCTTTGACACAAATTCACAGACCTTCAAACGTCCCGCAGTGCGTACAATACATGCATAGGCCTGCGTATGCAAGCACACAGTTTCTGCCACACTATTGGCAGTGGTAAGGAGGACAGATGGACATACAGCAGAGAGCAGAGAAAAGACGGAAATTAAAGTCACAGTTGAGTAATTACAGTTTGACGTCTGACTTTTTGTGGCGTTTATGTAGATCGACTGAATAACATGAAGGAGATGTTATGTTCTTGAGCTTTATCTGTGTAGAGGTGATATATTTTCTGTTTTATTATATTGTAAAATAACATATTGTTAAAAAAAATATG